TGCAAATGCTGTATATTTTTCAAGTGAAATCTTTTTATATGTTTTCTATCAATGTTTTTCCTCTTAACTACCTTGTACTAATTACTTACTCCCTAGTCTATACATCTATACAATCATATATTTAATTATGTTGTCTTTATGCCATAAACTTGTTGTCTTTACGCTGTATAACTCCATAGAGGAAAGTAATTTATCGAAACTATTTTATTTTGGATAAATGATTGAAATATTGACATTGAGTTGGCGTGTAAATGCAATCCTATCTGAATTTTTTCAGACAAGGTTGGATTTATACATGAAACGAAAGGAAAGTTCATTAGAGTTTCGTGTTTGTTTATATCTGATCGGAACACAATTTATTAGTTTCAAAACTCTTCTTATAAAATGAAGAATAGAGAATGTTAATACTGAGAAGATTTATCTTTACATTAAAAAAAATAAGTCCACATCATTTTTCCAAGCTTAGATGCCATTCATCGCATCCCTATTGCTGCAACATTTTGAAATTTTAAGACAACCTATTTGTATGCTGCAGAAGGCCATGGAGGATGCTCTTGAACAACAAATATCAGAGAAGGAGATAAAATTGAAGTTTATCCGCCATATTGCAGAGCGAAAAATTGATGTTCATAGGAAGAAGCCTCATGTTTTGGCTGACTTGCGAAAGGCTTTCCCTGAAGCAACAGAACGCGATTATGACTTTCTACTCTCTGTGACAATCACTGATCAGTTGCTTGAGAAGTTCAATGAGCTTTGTTCTGAAAAGGATAAACTCGAGAAGCAACTTATAGAATTGAAGGGATCCACTGCACGTTCTTTATGGCGGAAGGAACTTGATGAATTCCTTACTGAACTTGCCGTAAGAATCAAGTTTTCTGTTAAATCATGTGATTTTCATATAGAGTTTACAGAGTTTATGATATTTAATTCTTTTTTATGTAAATTAGAAGCAATACAAAGCTTATCAGGAAGCACAAGTCAGAGGAAAGGTTTGTATTTTTGTTTTCCTTTGACTTGCAGATGTTTTTTGGTTCAAATTTCTCTTCTCCTGAAAATTGACATTGATTTCCACTCGGTTCAGCTAGAAAAAGCTCCTCCTCATGGCTGCGGTGGCCGTAACACTAGAGCAGCAGAAGAGACACTGATCAACCAAGATTCAGAGGGTGTTGAATTACCACCGGCTAACCGCAGACCCACGTACAAGGAAACCAGTGATCTATAAGGATCATATGATGTATAAATAGGCATAAATGACAGGGAATGTTTAATATTAGAGGTTGAGAATACTTTGTCTATTGAATGAACTGGATTTGTATTGTAGTTTTCATGGTTATTGTTGTAGATAATACCAGCGGGAAGAAAGCTCTTCGACAACGAAGAGAGCTCTAAATAACTCGGAAGTACCAGAGTTAAGGGAAGTTCAGGAATATGAGGATTGAAATGAAGACTTGGTTTCTTTGTTTTTGTTATTCCAATTGAGAAAGGTCAATTGCCTTTTCCATTGATCTGCTTGCAGTTTCAGTCTCCTCAACTCTGTTTGCGACTTGTGTTGAAATGAGACCCTTGGTCTCCCTAGTAGCTTTTCGGCTATTCATGTCGGCTTCTTTCCTTAGATACTCAGGGTTCATCAATGCTGCTTGCTCTGCAGCCCTTGCTGTGCATATCATAACAACAGATTCATCACTAACTTCATTAGTCTCCATTTCATGCTTAAGCTTTGTTTTCCAAAGATGGATTATGATTATGAAAATGATTTGAATAACCGTGTGTTATTTATCAAGTGCACATCTTTCTCTGCTGCAGCAGTGGGGAACAAGTCAATTAGCAAATACCATATTTTATGGCAGCACATCTCCTAGTAGGTCGATACTCTACCGTAAATGTGTTGAGTCAGCTAAGTGCAATATGACTAGGATTGAACTTCTGCAAGGTGGTATTTGGAGAGCTGATGACTTGATTCATGCTGTCTATTTGAATGCTCCAAAGCAAACCAATCATCATTGGCATTTTCTATTCATGGCAATAAAACTCTGCCGAAAGTAATTATTGCTGGAACATCATATGATTTGATGAATGGTATTTCAATTTTAGTTTTAATTGTTTGTTCTGCAAAGTTCAATCTTACTTGGATAAAATGCAGTGTTTTTTTCCCAGCTGAGCATGGTGAATTTCTTTGGTTGCCTGAAGATAAAATGCAGTTTTTTTAATCGTATATATTGCTTGTTTCTGAACTTTTTGTTCAAGTTTTTAGGAACTGCTTAGCAACTTAGCACGTAGAAGCGATGCTACAGCAGAAATTACTTCAATTTATGTCCAATAAGACAAGAAAATGTGTTTGAATTCTAGTCATGATGTGCTTGGCATACTTGTAAAGATAGTATTTAATAGGAGAAAAAGTTCAGTATTAATTTTGTATCCTTTGATTTTTGTTCTTTATATTGCTTTAAACTCGTTTGCTTTGGCATTGCTTTTATAACTCAACTGGACAACTACGGGGAACATTTCAAGATCAGTTGCAAATATTTAACAGAGAGATGAAAGCAAAAATGAAATCACAACAGATGCCTGAACAGATGAAACTTATCTGCCGTCTCAATTTTTTTTTAATTTTTCTTGTAATGGTTCCATTTTCTGTTAATTCCTCGCAACATTCATTGTTCCTCAATGATAGTTGATCATGATAGTTGATAGTGAGCTTGATTGCATTAGCTTATCAAACTGTTGTTGTTTCATGCCTAGGTTGTATTTTGGAAATGGATTAGCCCAAAAATGCTTGGCCTGGTCACACAGACCTCCGTGTATCATTGGTCAATTGAAGGTTGGATGTTATTCTGTTAACTATCTAGTATCACAGACAGCTTTGCTTTATGCAATTCTAAAATTGTATCTTTTTTGAGTCAACTGTATAAAGTTTCTTTGGTGTTATGTGTCTTACTCCCAGCAGGTGATTCTGAGCCTGTTAAGATATTTGAGGACAGCTAGTTCAGTGAACAATCAGATAATAAACAATAAATGTGATCCTTCAGAGAAGTGGTTGGTTTTGATGGGATCGGATCAGTTTAATTTTCAAGTAGAAAACTACATTTTTGGAGTGGGGTGTGTTAGAACTTAATGTTTTAATTACACAGGAAGCTGTTAATTTTGCATTGATGATGTCTCTCTCAAATGGAGGGTGGTTGTCCACTTGATTACACACCATTACTCATCTTTTTCTACAGTTTTCTGCTTATGTAATTGTTTGTAAAAAATGACATCACTTTTCCTGTCAAATATGTGAGATTGTTTTCTTTTGGATTTCTGTGTTATTTTCAGAGGAACTTAATACGGGAAGCTACTGTGTTTCTATTAGGGTTTGGGAACACTGCCAATCCCTGGATGTTGGACAACAACATACTCCATCCTCTCTCTTTTCCTATCCAAATTCTCACTGTGTAATCGAACCAAATCGCTCACTTGTTTATCACTCAACATTGTGTTATCACATTGATCCTTGGCTATATTCACTGGCCCCATCCCTCGAAGAAGTATCTCTTGGTACCCTAACATCCGATGAGGCTTTACTCGAAGGTCTCTCTCTAGGACACTCCTTACTATCTTCAATGGCAGAAGGCTTGGAACAAATGCAACCCATCATGCACCAAAACCACCCCCAACAAGAGCTTATTTCAGTGCTTCTTACAGTCACTAACCATCCTTCATAGTTAGGATGTATTATTTACTAACCATTAATTCACTAATAATATTATTTAAATTAAACTATGATCGATACAAGATTGTAAAATAAAGACATAATATTAAAACATTTGTTTATTTGATTATTTGGTATTATATTTTAGAGTATTTTGGCATCTAATATTTTATTTTGAATAAAATCTCTCAATGAATGATAATCAAAGTCAACAAACAATTATTATGGTTGTCCCTTGTTCCCATATGTAATGAGGTAGGGGGGTAAGATAATAGGCTGTCCCCAACACCAGGTTGAGCAACTTTCGTAGAAGACCTCCGAATTATGAAATGCACTCCGTGGGACATGATCCCACGACCTCAAGGTTAAAAAACTTGTGCTCTGCCAACTGAGCTGGATAGTTTGTCCTAAATATTAAACATTAGTTGGTCAAATGCTAAAAAAATAATAAGGTCAAAGTGACTATTTAGTGAAACGTTAGAAGTTATCTTACCTAAAATGCATAAAGAAAAAAAAGAAATTAAATAACTATTTAATCAAATATTAGACGTATTTTTTAAAATTATGCCTAGGTATGGGCACAAGACTTAAACTTGATGGTCTTCGACGAGACCCAACCCTAGTGGCTTATGTTTTTTTTTTTCAAAATTCAAGTTTGAGTTGAATCAAGTTTTTTGGAAGATAAGTTCGAGTTCAGATTTTGAAAGAAATATTCGACCGACCCAATTCAAAAATAATGTAAGTATACATTATATATTTAGAGATAATTGCATTATTATTATTCTCTCTCTCTATATATATATTCAATTAGATCATTTTTATCAAATAAAATTAAAATATTATATATGTTTATATATTTACGTTAGATCAAATACATGTTTTATTTAAAAGACTGGTCGGGTTTTAGGTCGGGTGGAGTCACCGTCAACTAGGGTTGAATCAAATTTTTGATGGGAAATATATTTTTCTCGGGTTGATCGAAAACTCGATCCAACCCAACCTATACCCATTCTAATCATGCCTAAAATAGAAATTAAAATTCTAAAAAATAAAACTTGGAGCATAAGACATTATTATTTAATCACTATATTGCGTTAAATAATTTTATATAGTTAATAGAAATAATTTTAATTAAATTTAAAATCAATTATATATTTAGATCAATTATAAAAAAATTGATGTTATTTTTTACTTTTAATCAAATATTTTAAGAGATTCTGAACTGTACAAATGATTTTGGTTTAATAATAAAATCAATATTTTAGAAATTTTCTAATATTAAGTTGGAGTTTTTTATCTTATGCAAGTTTTGTATAAATTCTCCCAAAATTTCTGCATTTGTCTCTCCTCCGCCGCAAAGCTTCTTCCTTGTCTTTATTCTTAATTTATAGTTGTTTTGTGGGTAGGGCAATTTCAACCCAACAAATAAAGTTTGGTATTCTTTTGTTTATTTCATTTGAACCCTAATTGGTGCCGCCGTAATCGGCACAAAGTGCCGGTCCACCATTCATACCTCTAATCCAAAGCTCCCAACACAAAGTGCGAGTTTTGTTCGAGTGATTGATTTAACTTCCCCAAATTTCGATTTTTTTTATTATTATTATTTCCGAAACTGCAGGTTTAGCTTTCCAGAAGCAGCCCCTTTTACAGCCATCTTGAAATTCAGAGTCCCTCCCCAAAATCATCAATGGTAAATCAATTCCTTCCATCTACTTTTGTTAAGTATTATTTTTGTATTTTTTGTTTTGTTTTGCATGTTTTAATTAGGATTTGGGATTGGGAGGTTTTAACTGGCTTAGATTAGCATTTTTGAAGGGAAAAATAAGAATTTTGAAAATATTGATGATTTAGACAGAATTCCCAGGAACCCTGTCATGCAAATCTCCCACCTTTCGTCTCTTGCCCGCCAACTACGAGTCACTTGATCACACTTTTGTTACATGCACGAGTAATCCCTCACCTTCCTTACTCTGTCGAGTAATTTCAGTTCATAGCTGCACTATTGCCTGAGCATAGCTGTATTGTATGAGATTAGTTCTCCCCTGACCTCAGTCTGGTCTGTAACAACACAATCTGAAAGGAGAATGGTTGATTTTGATTTTTTTTAATTGCTAGTATTGTACAAATGCTGTATATTTTTTCATGCGAAATCTCTTTATATGTTTTCTATGAAGCTTTTCCCCTTAACTGCCTTGTACAAATTAGTTACTCCCTAATCTAGACAATCATATATTTAATTATGTTGCCTTTATGCCATAATATTTTCAGGCCTAGCGGGCTGGTCGGCTGCATTAAATTAGATTTTGGTCTGCAATTTGGCGCCTCTTTGCTTTGTGCTATTTTCAGGCCTAATAGTCTTGCGCATTTCCTTGAAAATCCTCAGAAATTATCTCAATAGGAGAGATGACTACGACTGGTACGAGAAATTTTAAGGAAAAACGGATTTCAAAGAGGCGGCGACTGAGTAGACATGGGCCCAATTGGTCGGATCTCCCCTTCGACATCCTTGAACGTATAATTGGACGTTTGCGTTGGGTAGATCGAAGCCGGATACGAGCAGTTTGCAAGGCTTGGTCAGTCCCAAACACTTGTATTCCTGCTATTGGTGAACTCCCCTGGGCAATGAAATTTTGTTGGCGTTATGCCTCTTTGTATCTAATACAAGGTGAGTGCCGGCTGCTGGACCCTCTTTCCAGAGAGTACCTTGTCGAAGAAAGGAGCAGAGGACTAGAGTATCTACTTTTCCTTGATGCACGACCTTGTGCTTCTTTATATGGGTGGGTTCTTTTCAAAGTGTACGACTTTAGCAGAAAGAAAAGAGTCCCTCTTTTTGTACTCTCCGTTAACAACTGAGGTAATTAGGCTTCCGTATTTAGGGGGACCTCCCACATTTCAGGTGGCGGCGTTTTCCTTGAATGCAACATCCCCAATGTACCATCTTTCTTTTGTGGAGTGAAAATGGAAAAATTTGTATTAAGTTATGTTCTGCCGGTGATTGTTCATGGAAGACTTTTGAGTTTGATGGTTTTGATCGGTTTAATTGTGCTAATGATGCTGCCTACACCAACGGAGTTTTCTATTGTGTTTTTAGAGAAGGTCAATTGGGTGCCTTCAATGTTGAACTTAAAGGGTGGACTATTCTGGTTGATCATTGTCCACTCGTTGATCATTGTCCACTCTCACGAAGTAGTGTGCATTATGTTAAACTCATTGTGTCTGGTGCAGATCTGCAACTGTTGTCTGATAGCTCATCTTTGGAACTCCTTAAGCTTGATTTTGCAAAGATGGATTGGGTTTATGAAAATGATTTGAATAACCGGGTGTTTATCGGGTGCACTTCTTTCTCTGTTCCAGCAGTGGGGGAAGCAAATGTATTAGCGAATACCATATTCGCTTCTGGTACTTTGATGCACCCCAAAGTTAGATTTTATGGCAGCATCTCCAAGGCAGTCGAGACTCTACCGTGAGTGTGTTGAGGCAGCAAAGTGCGACAGGATTTTGGATTGAACTTCCGTTGGGTGGTATTTGGAGAGCCGATGATTTGATTCATGCTGTCTAGTTGAATGCTGCAATGCAAACCAACCATCAACATCATTTTTTACGTATGTTTAGATCAATTAATTATTCCTGGAACATCACATGTCTTCATGAATGGAGTGTCAATTTTAGCAAGTATTCCTGGTGCTTCATCAGAAGATCTTTGACCTTAGTTATGGGGTTTAGATCATGGAAAGAAGATTTAGCTAAGAATTGATAAAACCATAATAGATTAACTAAGTAATAATAATTTAAAGAATTGAAAGTTGGCGAAAACAACCTTAAAACACAACACTCCGATATATATATATATATACATACATACAGAGAGAAAATAAAGGCTTAATACCCCAAATAAGTGTCTGAACTATAACTTTTTTCCCCGAATAGGCGTCTATAATATTTTTCAGACCATTTAGGTGACTAATATTACAAACGTTATCACTTTAAGTGCCCGAACCGTCAACGACGTTAATTTCCTCCGTTAAGTGACATATAACTAGGATGGTAGAGACTATGTCGACAGCGGTGGTCGTGGCTTGAAAGGATGGCAGCTGCGGTTTAGTGTTAGGATTTGGGATTTTAGGGATTTGAGACTTTTTTGTAATTTAAAAGAAATTATGATTTTTTTTATAAATAAATAATATTTTTAATATTTTTTAAAAAATAAATTTTAAAATATCATATTGTGACACGTGTCATTTGACGAAGAAAACTAACTGTCGTTACGTCCCGAGCACCTAAAGTGGTCACGTTTGTAGCGTTAAGTACATGGGTAGTCTAAAAATACTGTAGGCACCTTTTGGACAAAAAATGTTTAGTTTGGACACTTATTTGGTATTAAGCCTAATTTTTAATTTGACCTATAAACTTTAGTTACAATATCAATTTAACCCCTAAATCTAAACAAAACCATCTGCAATTGGTCGTTAGATCGACGATTGTTAGACCCAAATTTTTTACTTCACTTATTTTTTTACCTCATAAACATAAATCTGATATATATTTCATCAAAAAAATGTCTCAAACTTCATAAATTTAATAATACGATCAAACTAACAATATTATGTTTCAGTAACTAAAACATTACATATCAATAACATAATAACAATATTTTTTCCTAAATTTAATAAAAAAAACTAAACATTTATAAAATGAAAGTAACCATTCTAATAATTTAGCCAATAAAACTGAGAAAACGCACCATCAAAACAATGCAACTTAATTGATGGGAAAATATTAGTTATAGGTTTAATTTGTAGAGATCTAATTCAAAATTCAATTTGTCAAACCCTAATGTATGACTAACATGAAATGATTTTAGAATTTATTATTACTATTATTATGAATTGGTTTGATTTCTTTTATTTTTTTATTTATCATTATTTATTGATTTGAAGAATAATTATTTAATATAGCCTACAAGCAAGATTAAGAAATTATACATATGACTATTATTATTTAAAAAAGATAAATTACGCAAATAATTCCTCGATTATAAACGCTATTTTGTTAATTCTTTCGACTATTAAAAGTTACGAAAATATTTCTTTAAGTAAATAGCAGTGTTCTACAACTTTTAAGAGTAGAATAATTCAACAAAGTAACGTCTTATAATCGATGATTATTTTATAACTTTTAATAGCCGAGAGATTCATTATAACTTTTAATAGTTGAGAGATTCAACAAAACACTATAATAGAGGAATAATATCAATTCATTTATCACAAAAGTCACTTGAGTCGTGCAACTACAATTCTACAAGCAAGGTTAAGAATTACATATGACAATTATTACTTGAAAGGCTTTTAGCTGAAGCATTATCTTCCAACAACTTTTCCGAAGACGCATTGTATTCCCCGCAACTTCCGTTGATTCCTAGAATATTTGTTTTCGGTTGATGCTCGAAGTTATCATTACCTCAAGGGTTGATGCTCGAAGATATCATTAACTCACCCATTTACGTTGTTGTTCATCATGTTGTCTTTAGTCATTCATCGATATATTTAACTTATGATTATTCAGAAAGTATATATATATATATATATGACTAATGCAATCTACGTACATTTTTCAGAAAAAGAAAAGAAAACAAAATTACAAGCAAGATATGAAAGAAGGCATAAGTTGGTGTCCATCATCTACCATGGATGTTACAATCTCTACAAATATATAAAAGTGGGAAGATCATGTCTAAATCTGTCTGCTTTTACATAAAGATGACTCAACATAACATGCATGCATGCAACGACAATCAGCTGCATTGATAAAACAAAACATCATGACAGTAATACACTTTTGCATCAAAATCACAATCCAAGAGATGGACAATGCTTTCTTGCATGCTCCGGAATCAGCTTCACCGATATCTCCACCGGAACACCCTTCAGTTCTGGTGGACACGATAACATCACCATTGTTATAATCAATCATACATCTTTAACAATACACGAAAGTTTATTTCAAAGAAAATGTATGTTTTTTTTTCTTCTCAACTATTCCTTACCATGAGGTTTGAAGTTAAACAATGGCGGTAGGAAACGACCATTTGGTAAGCGGGCATCATTTATCTACATTGCAAAAGGACAAAAAGATGTCACTAAAAATCAACTGAGATACCAAATATGTTAAAAACAACCTCTAACATTAACTGCACCGTGAAGACTACAGTAGAAACAAACTCACAAAATACCCAAAAAATCAAGTGCAATAAACCCCTTTTACCTATGTAGCAATCCAACCTTAAGACACACACACACAAACACTCATCCCCTTTTCAAAACCAGCAAGAATCTTAACAAATACCAATTTTAGCCAGAATAAACTGCAACAGTTTTGAGCCCATCAAAGCACAAATCTTTTAGCTTTTATCTTGCATACATATACACAATCATACTTACATACGTATATATATACACAGGAAATCTCCACATCTAGCTTAAACAAAAGGATTTTAAGATATCATTCAGACAAAAAGGTGCTAATGAGACTTCAAAAAATATAATAGCAATAAAAAGAAGCATAAACTGAAATAATTTTAGAATTTATTATTACTATTATTATGAATTGGTTTGATTTCTTTTATTTATTTATCATTATTATTGACTTGAAGAATAATTATTTAATATAACCTACAAGCAAGATTAAGAATTATTACATATGACAATTATTATTTAAAAGGATAAATTACACAAATAATTCATCGACTATAAAATGTTACTTTGTTAAGTCTTCCGACTATTAAACGTTACGAAATATTTCTTTAACTAAATGACATTGTTCTATAACTTTTAAGAGTAGAAGAATTCAACAAAGTGACTACATAGACCACTTGGTTCGTGTGACTACAAGCAACGCTCTATAGTAGAGGAATAACATTTTATTCCTTTACCACATAGACCACTTGGTTCGTGACTACAAAAGGTTAAGAATCACATATGACAATTATTACTTGAAAGGCTTTTAGTTGAAGAAGCATTGTCTTCCGGCGACTTTTCCGAAGACACACTGTGTTCTCGGCGACTTTCCAAAGACGCATTGTGTTCCCAACGACTTCCAACAGGTACTGTAGCATTCACTAAACCATAAAATAATTTCGATTAGACCTTATTTCAATGAATAATGTTTTAACAACCTACAACAGAAAATCAACCCTTCATTGATACAGTTAGGTGGGAGAACTACTATACAAATCATTTTCTATTGGGTCCACCTTTTTCTTAAAAATATTCAATTATATCACCCTCGTCCATACTTCATCATCTGCTCAAAGTTACAATATATTATTTACTAACCACATTAATTCACTAATAATATTAATTAAATTAAACTATGATCGATACAAGATTATAAAATAAAGACATAATATTAAAAAAATTGTATTATTTGATGAAGTAGTTACATTGGTATTTATATTTAGAGTATTTTGGCATCTAATATTTTATTTTGAGATAAAAGATCTCTCAATGAATGATAATCAAAGTCAACAAACAATTAATATTCCAAAATATGAATATTTTGTCTTAAATATTAAACATTAGTTGGTCAAAATGCTAAAAAAAAATAAGGTCAAAGTGACTATTTAGTCAAACGTTAGAAGTTATCTTACCTAAAATGCTTAAAGAAAAAAAAAGAAATTAAATGACTATTTAATCAAATATTAGGCGTATTTTTTAAAATTATGCCTAGGAATGGGCACAAAACTCAAACTTGATGGTCTTCGACGAGACCCAACCCTAGTGGCTTATGTTTTTTTTCTTTC